CAGGTTTAAAAGATCAGCGGTTACTATAATCTTATATAAACATTTAAAATAAGGAATCTGATTACAGGTTGTTTACTACTGTGATGTGTGATATTAGAAGGTGGAAGGTTTTTGGCTTGTCAGACTGTGGACAAAAATGCCATTTTCCAGTCTGAAATGAAGAGTGGCATAGCGAGATGTAGTAGGGCTGCAACTAACATCATAATGTTATGTTTTATTTTCAGTGAATCTGCTGATTAGTTTCTTGATTAGTCAATCAATTGTTTTGTCTGTAATAGTGAAAAATGCCCATCACAATTTCCCTGAGGCTGAAGGTTAAAAATGACTCTTTTTGTCTGACTGACAGTCCAAAATGCAAAGATATTCACTTCCTATCACACAACACAAAGAAAAGCAGAACATTTTAGGAACCTGAGATATTTTGTCATTTTTACTTAAGAAATGACTTGCTGATTCATTTGTTGTTGATAAACTAACCAATCATTGCAGCTCTAATATGCGGTCTTAATAATCTGTAAAATGAAACTTAAATATTAGATTCATTATTATGAGAGTAACAAGTCTCTTTCACTATTGTTCATCCGGGTCTGTCGTTCCTGCTGCACACTAAGTACAATGATATGTGGGCTGAAAGCATGGTATAATATTTTAACCAGAAGACATCAGTTCTCACCAGTGACATTATAATAATAAGACTATTAGTGAACTAGATTAATCAATCAATTCAGGAGAGGCACTGCAAATTAAAACATGCAAACTGATTTCCATGAAATGCAAATGTTGTGTGTATTATAATGGGGAACCTTACAAATACAAATGAAAAACACCTAGGACATCCTAGCAGCTCTATGCTTGCTCCTTCAGTAGAGTAGCCTTACCCATAATAGCCCAGATTTCATTGTTCTCCGCAGACAGAGCACTGAGATGGACCGTATATGCAAAAGATCACTGTGGCAACAGGAGCACCAGTTTGAACGCTGAGGCCTGTCCTAATCAATGCCTCACTGTTTCCATAAATGTTACTGGAGTATTGGAGGGCACTTTGGTGGATGAAATTACCACCTGAATCATTACTGACTTACAAAAATACATAAATTGAGAGAAGGACAAGAAATAACTGAATAGATGTGGGAGTGAGGTATCCTATCCTATTTCTCGAGAGGAAGACCAAGAGGTCTTTTGGAGACTAAAGGTTCACAGCCATGCAAGTGGCCCCAGGAGGCTGTAATCTGTTGGATAAATGGAAAATGGATAGACAACGTTGCTGTTCACAGATCCTTGATGCTAAGAGGGCAAAAATATCTAATATTTGACCTGAACATTCTGTTCATATTCCCATCAAAATCTCTGTAGAGTGGCAGCTTTATAACGTGTCAGGCTTATCCCTGCATTGTTAGATTTGGCTCAGAATTCAGGTGTACTTATAGGCACAGCAGCTTTGCTTTGAGTTGAGAAATAGAGTTTGCAAGCTAACTGGCTAACTTTCCGTTTACAGCCCTATAAAGGCCTCATCAGCATGTTAACCTGCTAACATTAGCATACGTTTAATGTGCCTACAGTTAGTGTGTTTATATATCACTGAATACTGACATTGTGTGATTATTAAGATTTAGTTTGTAACATGTGTACAGCTAGCATGTTATCATTGTCACCATGGTTGGTGCCAGCATTCAGCATGTTAGCATGAAATTTTGACTTGGTGGTGGAATTAGAGGAAATCACCAAACTCATTTGATTTATCCCCTAAGGATGACTGTCTGTTAAATGACATGACAATTTGATAAAGTAGTTGTTGAAATAGGGGAGACCGGGTGTGGTTTTAACACTTTTTGCTCCAGGAACTATAACTCGCTGAATTTATTAGCTAGAGTACTCAAACTTTTATACAAAGTACCCCCATTTGTTTACTACAAATGGCACTAATTCAATCCTCTACAAGAATATACACAGACCACATGAGTTGGTGTTTTTTTGTTACAACCTACCCCACTTACTAGGTTGTAACACATGCTGGGGTAAGTTGTAACAGTTAGACAAAATAAGTAAAAATGGATTCCATACCATATGATATGCTTCAAAAACATGTATAGTGAAATAAATTAACAATGTTTCTCTCTCTCCCTGTAACAGACTATGTCTGATTGACTCGCTTGTATGTGTGTATGTAGCCTACATTTGTCTACTAGAACAAACTTACTTATACATGATACACACTATTATTGATGTACACTTTAAACACTTCTACAACATACCTTATTAAAGAAAATCTTTGTACAGCTTTAGTCTAACAAAAACAAACAAACAAATCAGTGTGTGTGTCTGTGTGTGTAAATGTGTGTGTATTCTTAATCACACACATTCAGACACAGTCAGTGCTTGAAGTGTGCCAGTACTCATCAGTATGCAGTACTGGCTCTTCTACATTTTACATTTTGGCGCACGGGCTGCCCGTACACTTTTCTACCATCTCCACCGACGGAGACTGAGTAGGTAAAAGACTGAGTGCCGATACATACGGCAACATGTGAACAACATGTGAATGGGGAGTACTCGTCTCAGTGCTGACAAATGAATGCTGGTAACCCTGGAGTACAGGCATAGTGAACTCAGAAACTGCATAGGGCACTCTAAAACTGTAAAATATTAAAATCAAGAAAGTCCCTAGATGTATGTATAGGGGATGGTTGTAACACTTTAAATAAATGTTACAATCCACCCCACTCAAGGGGGTAAGGCACAGTTGAAACAGTGAAGCCGACAAAACCCTGTGACATCCCGTCTCACATGAGAGATGTAACCGTATTGCTTAGATTATGAACTCTCAGTGAATCTAAAACTATTCGGCCATCAGTGATGCTGCATTGGTTTTTGGCAGGTGAGCCTCGTAGGTGGACTAACAAACACACTGAGCCAAGAAACTTTTTGTTCGTGAAGCTATGTAGCTACCAGAATTAAGTGGTTTCTGTCATTGCTCTATGTCATAAAACCACGGTTATGCTGCGTGATCATGCGCAGTAGACACTGGTGCCAACAGGAAGTAACCCTGTAGTAGTATTTCATTGGTCCAAAACTGGCTTCACTGCTCTCCATTCAAACCAGCGGGGTGGTTTCGTCCAGTAATATACTGTCTATGACCCCACCCTGTCAGCCATTGTTTAGCTAGCTGTATTAGCATAGTGGTTTGAAATTAGCAGGGGGAAAACTGCATCACATGTTGCCAATGAAACTACAATTCAATCTAATATAAGTCAAACAGTTGTATCTGCAATAGTATAGATACTAAACAAAATACAGTCTCGGTAAAAAAATTTACTTTCTGAGCTCAAAATCAGTTTTTTCTCTATATATTCTTAATGTGCCCGTTTCCAGCCTTGACAATCACCATGCCTGATCGGGGAGGAAGCCCACAGTCACACCTCTCCCCCGCTCCAACACCATCTTCAAACAGTCACCTTCCCTCTCTGACACTCTGCCACCCCCCCCCTCCCCTCTGATCTCTCACCTGCACTCAAGATCTGTGAAGAGGACGTAAGCCACCTCTTCCAAAGGCAGAAGACCAGGAAGGCTCCTGGCCCAGACAGTGTCTCCATTCTGCCTGAAAATCTGTGCAGACCAGCTGGCCCCCATCTTCACACAGATCTTCAACAGATCACTGGAGCTGTGTGAAGTTCCCTCATGCTTCAAATGCTCTACAATCATCCCGTTCTACAAAAACCCTACATCTCTGGACTAAATGACTACAGGCCTGTCGCCCTGACATCTGTAGTCATGAAGTCCTTTGAAAGATTGGTGTTGGCCCACCTGAAGGACATTACAGTTTGCCTACAGGGCTAACAGGTCAGTGGATGATGCTGTCAACGACCCTGTTCGTGGACTTCAGCTCGGAGTTCAACACAATCATCCCGGACATCCTCAGCACCAAACTCACCCAGCTCACTGTGCCAGCCTCCACCTGTCAGTGGATCGCAAACTTCCTGACTGACAGGAGTCAGCGGGTGAGGCTGGGGAACATCACATCCATCACCCGGACTATTAGCACTGGCGCCCCCCAGGGGTATGTGCTCTCCCCACTGCTCTTCTTCCTCTACACCAACGACTGCACCTCAGGAGACCCATCTGTCAAACTCCTGAAGTTCGCCGTCAACACAACGGTCATCTGCCTCATCCGGGACGGTGATGAGTCAGCTTGCAGATGGGAGGTTGATCAGCTGGCTCTCTGGTGCGATCCGAACAACCTGGAGCTTAACATGCTCAAAAATGTGGAGACTCTGCCCCCCATCACCATACTCAATAGCCCTGTGTCTGCTGTGGAACCCTTCAGGTTTCTGGGATCCACTATTTCCCAGGACCTGAATTGGGAGCCCAACATGGACACCATCATCAAGAAGGCCCAGCAGAGGATGTACTTCCTGCGCCAGCTCAGGAAGCTCAACCTGCCTAAGGACCTGCTGATCCACTTCTACACAGCCATCATCCAGTCTGTCCTCTGCACGTCCATCACTGTCTGGTTTGGATCTGCCACCAAAAAGGACAAGGACAGACTTCAACGGACAGTCAGGACTGCAGAAAAGATCATCAGTGCCAACCTGCCCTCCATTTCCAGAGTCAGGAAACAGGCAGATGGATGCAGTTCCATCTACCCCGGACGCAATCTGTTCCAGATTTTCATTTTGAAATACTGAGATAAGATACTTATTACTCTTATCTCTAATTGGTGGAATTGGTGTTGTTACAACGATCCCCATGTTACAACAATACATACTATATTTATATTGTATAGTAGTGTTGGACTAATAGATATTTTCATCCCTCGTACTACCCTGAAAGGATGGCTAATAACTACAGCGAGGAGATAACTTTCATCATCACACATCCTCATTTCTGAAAGTAATGTTTGACAATACATTAAGGACACTAGGACCCTGTGGAGACAGCAGCTCTGTCCCTGTTTCTCACTGCCTCCTGCTCCATCTCTGCAGTCACTTGTGTGTGAGTGGAGGAGGGAAAGCAGAGAGTGAGCTGGTGTCTTTGCAAGCATTTACATCAGCATCGTTTCAGAAAAATCCCTGCTGCCACAGCTGAACTCATCTGGCGAGGAGGATGCACGCGGCAGATCAAGGGACAGGAGGAGAAACAGGCTCATATATTGGGAAGTATCTCAACAGCATCCACAAGGTACAGTGATTTATGTCCACTGTGTACCTCAGCAGTGGGAGTTACACCAGGTTTTCATCCTCAGAGACCAAAGCAGCAGACAGCTACACCAGGAAATACTCTGATTCAGGTACATAATGCTCCCTGCCTTGTTCTCTCTCCATCTCTTTCCCTCACGCTCCCTGAATCTCGCCACATTTTTTCGCTCTCCTCTTCTAATCTGCTGATTATATACTGCTGAGCGCAACGATGCATCTAATTCACTCATAATGTGACATATAGAATGTGGGCCTTGCTTTATACAGTGGGTGTAATGCACTAATGATTAATATATATACGAGTAGGCGGTAAGACATGACTAAACCAGGCAGAAGGGTTAAACTGAATTAGGAGTACCCCTATGTGTGATTTAGAGACGTTGCTCAATGAGGGCAATCATTCATAGGTGATTAGGGAGGTTAGGGCTCAATTTGTACCCTGATTCATACTCTTATCACTGTAGACAGGAGACAGAAAAACCAGCGCTTTTGTTACAGCTGTGGCAGAGAGCATTCATAGCATTAAGTAACTAGATTTCCTTGATCTGACACATACTGTACATATAGCAGCAGCCACCCATGCCTATTTGTTGTCTTTAGGTGCCCAATTTGTCCCCTCCTTGAATGATGCATACTTAATTGAGTTAATTGGTTTGAGGCCTGGCTTTGGATTACCTTATCAGTAAGACTGCCTTAACAGAGATTTGAGAAGGAGGATATTATCTCATCAGAGTGAATTAATCTTAATCTTATCTCTTGATAGCTGGGGCAAAAGTAACAATGAGCAAGAGGAAATGATCCGAAGGATTAGTTAATTTGACACAGAAGTGCAAACAAGTTGTCACATACAAACTCCGGTGAAAACACATTTGCATTTTATTCTTACCTGTCTTTCTCTCTTGCTTTTAGGGCGGGTAGTGACTGATGGCAGACATGAAGACTTTCTAAATGGACAGGAATCATAAAATCTGAATCTCCTGACAATCACAGCATCATCCTCATCCGCAGCTTTTGACCTCTTTTTCAAGCCGTTGTTTTCTGGCCGCACTTCCTGGCTTTGAAGGATGGGTGATGGGCCTGTGACTGATCCTGCCTGCCTGCCTCTTCCCACCCTTCAATGGAGCTGCTGTGGAACTCCTCCCACCCACCTCCACAGCTCATGTCCAACATGTCTGCCTCCTATCTGCCTGAGGGCTGGGCCCTGTCCCAGTCGCTAGCCCTGCTGGCCATGCTGCTCATGGATCTGCTGGCTGTGGTGGGTAATGTGGCTGTCATGGTGGTCATTGCCAAGGCCCCACAGCTCCACAAGTTTGCCTTTGTCTTCCACCTGTGCGTGGTGGACCTGCTGGCAGCCCTGGTGCTGATGCCCCTTGGCATGCTCTCAAGCCGAGCCTTCTTCGGGGAGGCCCTGTGCCGGAGCTACCTCTTTCTCAGTGTGTGCCTGGTTAGTGCTGCCATCCTCTCTATCTCCGTCATCAATGTGGAGCGTTATTACTACATCATACACCCGATGCGCTATGAAGTAAAGATGACTGTTGGCCTGGTAGCGTCAGTGCTGGTGGGGATATGGGTCAAAGCCCTGGCAATGTCTGCTCTGCCTCTGCTCGCTTGGTTGCTGCAAGGTGGAAGAGCTCCTCTTCTGGAAAGTAGTGCTGTAGGGGGAGGAGGAGGTGGGGCAGTCCCATCTCCCCCTACTCAGGGTCACAGGCGCTGTTCACTACACTGGACAGGGGGAGGGTCAAACCGCCTGGCCTTTATGGTCTTGTTTACACTGGTGTATTTCCTGTGTCCACTACTGGTTATTCTTGTTGTGTATTGCAATATGTTCAAAGTGGCTCGGGTTGCAGCCATGCACCACGGGCCTCTGCCTACCTGGATGGACACACCTCGTCGTCAGCGGTCAGAATCACTCAGCAGCCGTTCCACGATGGTTACCAGCTCTGGGACAGGGACTGGGACAGACAGAGCGACTCCACAGCGCCCCTTTGGGGGAGGAAAGGCTGCAGCAGTGTTGGCAGCGGTAGGCGGACAGTTCCTTTGTTGCTGGCTGCCCTACTTTACTTTCCACCTGTATTCAGCACTGGCTGCCAGCCCTCCAGCCACTCTAGCCTCTCTGGAGGAGGTGGTCACCTGGATTGGCTACTTCTGCTTCACCTCCAATCCTTTCTTCTATGGCTGTCTCAACAGACAGATCCGGGAGGAGTTGGGCAAGCATCTGCCTTGTCTGTTTCGGCGAGCAGGGACTGAGATGGAGGACAGGCTGCCAAGCCGTGAAGGGTCCATAGAGGAGAATTTCCTTCAGTTTCTTCAGGGCACTGGCTGCAACTTGGATCCTCAAAACTCTCACAGCACCTCCAGTCCTAAAGGGGAGGCCTGCTGCCCTGTGGCTCAGTCGCAGACACCGGAGTTAGCGCAGCCCATACCAATTGATTTCCGTATCCCCGGACAGATTGCAGAGGAGACTTCAGAGTTTATTGAGACTGAACAGGCGAAAAACAACCATATATATACAGACACTTAATTAATGTCTTTATTTCCTGAAAATAAGACGAATTTTGATCATTCAGATATAAACCGTATCAGGAGTTATTTCAGTGAAAACATGTTTCTCTGTTTTTACTGAAAATTGTCCAGCAGTTCATTTAAATTACTTTGAATTCTACCTTTGAATCATTGCACTTGGCCTCATCAGATTTCATCCTTAAACAGTCAGACACAGTTACATGCAGTTGTTTGAGATGCATTTCAAACTGTAATTTGTGAACAGGGAAATTACTGTTGGATTTTAAAACATTCCACACAGCTGCTCAGCTCTATACAGTAAACAACTCAGTGAATTAATATTGATGTAACTTATTAAAGCCTTTTTAAAAAAAAAACAAAAAACATTTATTATATATTGGATTCTACAAAGGTAATAGAGTTAAATGTTTTCAGAATATCCCTTTTGGTTTCAAATAAGGGAATCCTATCTGAAATACACTGTCTCCCTCTCAATTAATTTTCTTTACTATGGTGCAGTGAAGCTCTGCCATTAGACAAATTGCCGTTGGTATTCAGAAATGAAGATTAAACGGTTCCACACACCAAATGATACTGTATTTGTAACTGCCAAATCAATCATTTTTGAGACTCTTGTAAGCTGATTATTTTTTAAAAGAGTTTTGTAAATTACTTGCAAGAAACGTAATGTCAAAAAAGACAGCAATAAAATACATTAACTTATGACAAGTATTTAGGGGATACATTGAGGGAAAAGCACAACTGTCACTTTTGATTGGTAGTTGGGCTTTCAGCAATGATAATGCCACTCTTAACCCATATGCCAATCTGATTATAATCGATTATGAGGCGAACATACTGTGGCCTAACTCTCATGGAATTGTAACGAGTTGTTTACAGATAACCATCTGAATTTTGTTCTCCTTTCTGTGGTGCTTATTTAAATACATTTCACATCTCTTTTTTATTTCCCATAAAGCAAGCCAGATCTGTTGTGACTCAGTTTAGGATGTAGGTTGACTTCATAACTCATCTTAAGTCACCCAGCTTTCTACCATGTTGATGTATTTATATTTGGATATAGATCTTAAAAATCAGTATTCTCTTGATGCACTCCATTGCATTCAAATGTGATTCTGTTTCCTACATTTGTTAAATGTACTAAACTGTATGTTATGTTAAATTGTATAAGTTGTGGGTTGTGTATTTCACTCAACACACCCAATTTTTCTTTTTATTCGTGAGTGTAAGTATTTGTTATGAATTTCTTTACAAGGAGGCTGATGTATTTTGACACGTATGTAGTAACTGCCTTCTTTGTTTTTCAGCTGTGGAGATTTGTTATCCCGGAGGAGATAGGAGAAAGCATTTACATTTTCTTTGACTACCCTGCTCATCAGGGTTTTTACAGTACCTCACATGCAACATTACAGTTCTGCACAGTTCCACGTCTAGTATGACTCCTGCACACTCTAATCTAATGTTGTAACCAGGCTAAAGCAGGTGCGATTTGCTCATTGAGGCTGCATATGATGAACTGATGTGGAAATCGTTGGTTGAAATAATGGATTCTTTCTTACGCAATGTGGATAACAGGGTTTTTAAGATATTCTTCTCAGAGGTTGTTTTTGAGTGACAACACCCATCCAAAATCTAAAAGCTTGTTGAGCTTGATATCTTCTTTTCATCATGTCTAAATATCCCAAACTGTGAATGATGTTGAGTGTTTGTGTTAGGATTTTCACTTGTTCAGAGATAGTTTTCTCATGCTGTGATTAAAATAAAAGTATGACTTCCACTGTACTGCAATGACATGAATGTGTTTAGAAAAGTACATGGCTAAAACCTGAGTGAGAGATACTGTTGTAATAAAGAGTTTCTATGTTTGTAAAATATTTTTGATGCGTTCTCATAATTTCACAATATGATATGCTGCTGTCACAAATACAGTTAAGTGATACCCAATGCATGCCTAACATTTAGGGTCTTTTCGTTTTTTACTAATTGTCTCTGATTCAATGTGTGTGGCACCATCTCTCTGCTTTGCTTTGATATTCCTTTGCAAAGAGGGGCGTGGGAGGATACAGGATACATTTTGACCTTAAGGTAACATTTAAACTTCAAAGGCTAAAGCCAGTGGTACAACCATCAGGAAGAAGAGATGTAACTTTCAATATACTGCAAAATATTTATAGATGGATAGGTGCAAATGTAAAGAAAACCTTTACAGATACTCAGTTTAAACAAATATATCCTGCCACTGTTTAGTGCTGTGTTTCGGTTGGAGGATGCTGGTGCGCGACAAGCCTCACACCTCAACGATGGACCTCAGTCAAACCGCCCCCAGCTTCGCCAGGCTCTGCCATCCCCATGGCAATTATTACCTAGTGACATTTCTCAGTGCTGTAGTGGGCGGTAGGAGGAGCTTGCTCTATTGGGAATCCAACAAGACACCCTTATCTGTGACTTCTTAAAATACACTCTCTAGACTAAACCAGAGCTGACATTTGCTATGTTGTTATTTGTTTTCACAATCTTGGGATTGCTTGTGTGAGTATCTCATACTGTAAACTGAACTAACCTTTGATTATTTCTTTGTAATCTTGTATTTATTCACCTTAATATCTTTAGTTTTTAAATTGAAACTTAAATGTTCTAATCTGACTTATTATAATCTAGATTCATTACATTAGAACATTATATTTCCTATTGTGCCCTAATAATGATAATAATAACCTTAACACAAGCAAACAACAGACGTTCAGCTTAGAGTAGGAGGTGCAGAACAGGTATGATAAGCAGTATTTACTGACTGAGTGCCTGGAAGAGGGCAAAGGGTGTTTAGCTAGAGTGAAATGATGGACCATGGCCTGTAAAAGTGTGGGGTTTCACAATAAAAGCCCAAAGATGAAGTGAAAGAAGGAAGTGAGATGGTAATTTCCACACATATATACTGTATGTAGATAATGCATCAGTTTATCATGCAACAAATACAAATGAACTAAAAAAATCCCATTAAAATAAATCCTCTATGTGCTTGCCACTTGGGGGCAGTGGAACAGCCTGAAAACACAACACTGACATACAGCTTCTGCTGACAAAAGAGGTGAGACTGAACCAAAACAGTAAAGTTGAACTAAAAAAAAACAATGAGCAAAATGATGCTAAAACACTCAGTGGAGCTGAGGGGAACTGCAGAGTCAGGTGATCATTTTCTGCGTGCTTGTCACTATGAGTGATACCTTACATTACATATAGTCATTTGATACATTTTGAATATAAAAATATTGATTACTACAGCTGTAGGGCATCATTCTATATATAATAATTAACATATTTTTCTGTTTAATGTTGTTAGCCATATGGGATACAGTAACCAAGGCAAGATTTGGTGTCAAATGAACATTTTTTGGTGATATTGAACAGCAGCCCTCAATGTATTGTGCTGCCACTGTAAAGACCCAGATGTTCACTCAAAATCTTATTTCAGTTGTTGTTATTGACCTTGTCCTGTAAGGGGCAAAAGTACCACTGAACAAACCGAAAAAGTTGACTCCAGATGGAGGTCAGTGCTGTAGGCTACATTACCTTTCCTGTTGCTGGTTATCAAGAAGAAGTGAAAGCAGATGGACAAGCCTGTGGCAGATACACAGACTGGGAGAGCAAGAAAATAAAAATGTCATTTCTTTGTTTCCACCAACTTTCCAGGCACACTGTCAGCATTTCACAAATGAGACATAGTGTTGCAAAAGGGAGAACTAGACAAAGTTGGGGAGACGTGATTGTGGAGGAGGGGAGGAGAGATAGCAGAGAACAGAGGAGGAGGAACAAAGATGAAGAAATATGATCTGAGTAATGGATGTAAAATGGAGAGAGGAATAAAACTGTCAGATAAATCAGCATAATAAAAGTGGACATTACAAACACAAATAGGCTAAAATGATTTCAACATCTTAAGACAATAATGAAAATGCAGCTACAGCTACCTACCACAGGCCTACAAGTGATAGTTATTATTATTTTGATCATTTGATATTGTAGTAATTGTTTTGTTTTTACATTTAAAATTGATTTTATTTATTTTTATTTTATTATTATTTTTTAATCAATTGATTATTTAAAAAAAATTGTCTATTAATATATACACACACACGTTACTGTTTAATTTATTTATTTTATTTCTATTTTAATTTTAATATATTTTTATTTTTTAACACACACACACACATGCTTACTGTTTTATTTATTTATTTTATTTTTAATATATATTTTTTAAACACACACACAAACACACACGCTTACTGTTTTGTTTATTTATTTATTTTTAATATTTCTTCATTTTTTTTAACACAAACACACATACGCTTTGATTACTTTACGCTTTAATTACTTGTTTAATGAAATGTATGGGGTTGATTGTTCTTATGTTGTATGTATGATGCTTTGGCAATGTTGTTGTTACACATTCATGCCAATAAAGCTCATTTGAATTGAATTGAATTGAATTGATAGTGTGGGCCTTTTTCACACTAAGACGATTCTTGTTACAGCCTAAGTTATTATATAAAGAAAACCACTTACCACTCATATTGGAACCCTGTACAGCACCAGTGAATATATCAACATCATATCAAGATCATTATTGTAACAGGATCTACTCAGTTAGGCCTATACATCTTAGCTATTGGTTTTAAATGAAATGTTGGACTTCAGCCCTGAGTCATCCAACACTGGAGGTCTACTATGTGTTCTCATTTATATTAAGTGCCTGGCAGTCATCCAGTTTGCTTTTGCAAATAGAATCTCTAGTAGTTACTTCAATGGAATACACAACCTATATATTTGGCATTTTACAGATGTAAATGCTCTGTATAGCTAATTCTAGTCTTTTCGACCACTCAAAGCGCTTTTAAACTACATCTACCATTCACACACTGAGCCTAAGTGCTCAAACAGAAACTAACATTCACACACATTCATACACTGGTGGAACAGCCAGCAGGGCTTGCCCGAGGACACTTCAACATGCAGCCTCCAGGAGCCGGGGATTGAACTGCCAAACTTCCGATTAACAGGCAACCGGCTCTACCTCCTGAGCCACAGCTAATTTACTTCTCAAATACTGTGCAGTATACTGTGTTGAGTTAACAAGTGGGTACTGGTCAGTGGTACTGTTCTTAGGTACAACTTTGAGATACTTTTACTTTACTTGAGTAATTCCGCTGTTACTTAGCTATTTCTACTCGACTTTACTTTCCACTTTTATTTGACAATGCTTAAATACAAATAATAGTTATAGCAGTGAATTAAACTAGCCAAGAGTATAATAAAACAGCTCAAATTAGTCCCATTTTACTGCCATTTATATACAACAAAACTCATTTAAAATAGAGGTCCTGGAGTTAGATCTCCTTTTGGTGCAAGTAACGTTAAGGTTTGTTTCATTTGGTGACCTTCACCAGGACGCACCGTCGAAACAGGCGGCTCCTTTAAATCTTCGTCCCTCTTTTGAGGAAACTACATTTACGTCAAAGTAATACCCGATTCCAGAAAAGTATTCGAGCAAAGGTGAAGATTAACCTCAGGTAACTGTTCATTGTTAATTCAGGTAACTTCGCTAACCGCTATTCACTGACGAAAGGTAGACTAACTGACTTAACGGTTAACTTAATAAACGTTTAATTGTAACTAACGATTACGTATCAGACGTTAACTAACGTTAGCGGAGAGCGTTGTAAACTGTCAACAAGTCTAGGAGATAGTCTAGCACACAAAAAGCACATTTTAACATTAGCTATGGGAACATTTTAGTAAACTTCACAGGAACATTAAATAAGCCTAGCGGTCAGGTTTAAGTTTATCATTAACTGATATCTTATCAGCTCGCTGTAGCCATCTGCTGTCATTTTAACGTACCGTGGTATGTTGCTATGTGTTTTTGCAGGAGATTTCCTGTCTTGTATCAAGTTACAGTCTACTTCTGCTTCCAGCTGGTCCTCAACAATGTCAGGTGGTAAGTCAGCAACCCGTGACAGTGCAAACATCGTTACGTGAAACATAACCCAGTGTTCAGTTTGAAATACGGGACGTTTAACGTTAGCCTAAAATATCAAAAGCCATCTGCTGAACGTTACTTCCAGCAGTTAACAACTCCTTGAATGTTCTAGTAAGCAAAGTCAGAGGTCTTTCTTGGGCTCTTAATTGTGTTTAGTGGCCTTCTACCAACCAAAGTGGCTTGTGCATCACAATTGGAGGGTTTCACAGCTCATGGCACCCTCTATCCTATAGAACCTTGCCTTGGATAAGGAAAAAGTAGTAATCACTTGGTCTAAATATTACTCTGTTTGTAGTAAAAATAGGGCTGGGCGATATGGCCGAAAATGTTATCACAATAAAAACATTTCATACCATTTGATATCGATAATTATCATGATAAATGTCAAATCATTACTTATTTCAAACTTAAAGGCTGATTTTTGCTCCTAGGTGAAAAGTTGAAAAAATCAGATGCCAAACAGTGGATCACTCCACAAATCTGAGGTAGAACACTCTTTTTTCAACAAATATGAGTAGTAAACTTCTTATATACAGTCTATTAGTAAATCTTTTTTCAGTCTCTTTTCCTCAACAAAATAAGTGTTTTAGTAGAAAAATTAAGCGCAAATTCGTTAGTGATTTAAATGAATTAAATACCTCTAAGCTGAACCTATTTTTTTTAACCTATAACATTTATTGACATATATTTAACATTTGTTATATTGTTATTGAGGAAAATTACATTGCGATAATTATAATTATTGTTTTATTGCCCAACCCTAAGTAAAAGTAGGCCTACTCATGTTTAAGATTAATGCTGCATGTAGCAAGTAGCATGCAAAAAATGTGCTTTTGGAGAAGACTGGGAAAACTTAACTGGACTTTAAAGTAAATAAAAAAACTTTTTTACTTGCACGTTTTACTTTACTCTTTTTACTGTAAAACGATATCTGTAGCTCTCTTTACCTTCTTCCTTTTCAACAGTTGAGTATAAAACTTGACAATGTCACTTGACAAAATGTCATCCTTACTATCAGTCCTGGTGACTTGCTGAAGTACTGCTGTAAATAGGAAAATGCCAAGGCCATGTTTTGGAAAATGCAAAAAAAAAAATCCTGTGCTTGCTTTTCTCATGCATATGTTTGGCAACATCCACCTTTGAATGCACCATATACGTAATCTGATTAGAGAAAATTAAGCTTTGTTCAGTTGGGTTTGATGTCGTTTTACATTTCACATTACCTAGAAGAGAGAACACTGTGTTTTCGTGTGTTTGGTGTATGGCCTCTGTAAACAAAATGCTGAATTCCATGAGCTTTGCTCTGAAGGAGTGAAAAAAAATCCCCTAGCAGCCAGTGATCTGCATAGTGGTCTCATTTTTAGCAAAAGGGTGTGTAGACAGAAAGCTTACCCAAGCAGCTGAGAGCAGGGAGAAAACCAAAGAAGGAAGAACAAGAGCTATTTGGCAAACACAACAGTCTCCTGTTTCCAGGTAAGGACTTAAGAATGTGAGTAATTTGGTTTTAGCAACATGTTGGACATAGTCATGGGGGTAGTTAAGATTTTGTTTCAGACAAAAGCAGGCCTCTGTTTTTTAGCTGCTGCTGCTACTCCACATGCTGAGCGTCAGCTCTCTCAAGAACTGGGTCAGCTTTCAGAAAAGGCTGGAGACACCCTGAAACAAGATTTTTGTTTTAACTTGGGAAAGATGAACCTTGATGACTTCTTCTTTTCTCAGTCACCAGAATTTATCTTTGAAAAGATGTTTTTACCAAGCTCACTTAACAGAAAGGTTGAATTTTAGTTATTTGATTGTTGTATGTGTACGTCTGTTAGAAATAGGGCTGCAACCAACAACAAGTTTCATTGTTCATTAATTTGTCAATTATTTTCTCGATTAGTTGTTTGGTCTATTAAATGTCATAAAATTGTGAAAATGTTGATCAGTGTTTGCCAAAGCCCAAGATGATGTTCTCAAATTTCTTGTTTTGTCCATAACCCAAAGATATTCAGTTTACTGTCATGGAGGAGTAAAAAAAATGAAAATAACCATATTTAGGAAGCTGGATTTTGATTAAATCTTTCTAAAACGTTACCCAAATTGTTTATCAAATAGTTGCCAATTGATTTATTAGTTGACAAGTAATCAATTAATAATTGCAGCTATAGTTATAAATATTAAGGGCATAGTTTGATCAGGTTTGCGATGGGAGTTTAGTCTTTGTTTTTAGCCCAATTCATCAATAATTAAAAAAAAACTAAAAAAAACTTATAGATTGGATTTCAGTTATAGAGATCAGTGTGGTATTGGGTTTGGTCTCAGGCACAGTTGTGCTAAGATCTGATCCACATATCACCAGTTTCTTAAATCTAATTAATTCTAAATAAAGATTGTTTTTGTTCAGAATTGATCACTATCAGCCTATGCTGTAATCTCAGAGGCCAGTTTACCTGCAAAAATCTTGAGCATCCTGGTTGGAATATCAGTTTTTTGTTCTGATGGGTTTCAATAGAATTAGAGGACAATGGGTGAGGAAATGAATGGTTGGGTAGCAAAGAAATCTTCAGTGGTGGAACGTTAAGGACAGCCACTACAGTATATTTGAAATCCTGTGCTATCCCTGATAAATGTGCTCCGGATGCAGCATGTAAAAATGATCACACTTCATGAAATGTTCAGTATGCTGCAGTCAAATTATGGTGAAGCCCCTTAAAGTAAGATGTTTGTAATTTGTTTGGTGTCATTTCCAATTTTAGTTTTGATAAACTGAGGCTGCTTGAACAGCAAATTGTGTGCCCAGAACATGAACAAACATGTTTTTGTCCAATTGCATTATGTCTTCATACCACTAGATGGGGACGTTTACTGTTTTTTTGTAGCTCTCCTGCTCTGGCTCCTCCATAAGTGAATTTCCAAAAAACACTGTTAGGTCAGTGTTAGATAAGTAACGGTCAGTGTCATCCAGTTCAGTAGTATACAGTAGATGCGGTTTTTATACATATGTATATTGATCTTAATCCTTAATCTGAAATGATTTTCCTGAGATTTTGGTATATCCTGGGGAGTGTTAAGAAGTCTAAGAAAGGTTATTATTTTGAAAATCCAAGTCAGAGCCAACATTATCACATGCAGTAAAAATATTTTTGTATTGTCTGTATGATGGTTACGAACAAAAGCTTTAACTTTGTAGGACTTTCAAATATTCGAAAAGTTTTATTTTACAGTGATGAGTGTGGCTACAGCATGAAGTGAAAAACAACAATTAGCAGCTTTATTTGTTCTACTCGCTGAGGCTGTGCTGACGTTTGGAAGCTTGTGTGGTTATTACACTTCAAATAAAAGAGTGTAGTAATAGTTAATGGTCCTAAACTACAGGGAACTCATGAGAGAAAGTTGTGCACGTACTTGTGGCGAGTTGCATTACTAGTATTGCTGGGCATTGGTTGTCACTATTTATAATACTTCATGTCAGGCGGGCCCAGGCTCTGTGTGTTTTGGCTCTCCGTCTCCCCTCAGAATTTTCCAGCAAAGAAGATTGAGAGTTCACGAGGAGCTTACTCTCTGAGCTGGTTTCTGTGCTTATCAACTCTGACCATTCTGTATTTTTAATTTGTTTGCCGTTCATCTGGATCCTCTGTGTCGGGTGAACACACATCCTCATGATAACTGGTATATCTAATGGCTATTTTTAGATGAGTGGAAAAACTTTTGTCCTTCACTCCCCTTGGCGCTCAGCTGGTAGGGTGTAGTCGGTCTTCCAGGCTTGCTGGCTGTCATGCTAGCTACACAGTTTGGTCTGCCATGCCCTCCTCTGTGGCCGTTTTTCCCTGCTTTGGCTACAGGAAGCTCGTTCCTTGGTTTCTAAGGCAACCAAGGAGGATGACCCCCAGTGGGAGCCGGGGAAGCCTTGTGCTGCCTTTGAGCTCGTCGCTGTGCAGCATGCATGCTGACATGGCTGGGAGGAGGAGCCAACTCTGCAGAGGAGCTTCTCCCGGCCCAGTGTGGGTTCTGCCGCCCCGCTTCCCCACCGTGAGACAGCACTCCAGCACTACAGCTGGTGCTCCTCTCTCCCTCTGCTGGCCACCGCGCAGCTCTGACGCACTCTGCTCCAGTAGTAACAGGAGCACAGGCGGCAAGATGTCATCCTCTTCCTCCTCCAGCAACGATGGACAAGGGAAGCCTAAACCTAAATCCCCGTTTCGCAAGAGGGGCAGCCTGCAGAGCACCACCAGCCCTGGTGAGTGTGAGTGATGGGGGGGGGGGTCCTGTAGAGGTGAACTTTCAGCTGTTACTTGAATGTGGAGCCAGAACATTACACAGATACTTGTGCAGTGGCATTTAAGAATCCATCCTGCTCAGGATGGAGCATTAAGGGAGTTTACAGAGGTGGGGTCTGCTGCGGCTCTAGTTTGTTGCTCAGTTTTGTATCTGTTGTTGAGACGTTTGTTGACTTGAAGCTTCAACTGAGGTTATATATTTAACATTCAGCATGCATTCTGTTTTGTGTGGAACTCTAATGCACTTCGCTGCAAAGAACATTTTAACTAAACTAGAGCTTCAATTAATCTATTGATCAGTCAATAGTCGGTTGTTTAGTGTATGAAAAGAAAATACGGACAAAAAGCACATTATCAGAGCAAACCCTGTTATTGGTGAGGCATGAATCAAGAAATGTTTAGCGTTTTAATTTGATGAATGAGCTACAATGAAAATAATCAATAAATTATTAAAATAGTTGATCTGTCGATTCAGCAGTTCATTAACAAATCTTCAGCGCTAAGCTAAATGATAATCATGACTGACACTCTAAGAAATGTTTTATTTAGTACCACTGCAGTGAGTCAAGTCAATAAATGCATTAATCCAATAAATACATTATAATACACCCAAAAGTAAATGTGTTTAAATATGGATTTGACTCTGCTTTTACTGATGTTGTTGTGATTGCTAAGGAAACAACACACTGTTATACTATAGAAACTTATCCCTCAAAGAAGTGCCCTTAATGTACCCCTTATTCCGTCCCCTTTTAGCAAGTGTCACAGCCCGGCTCATGGACTGTAAAAAAAGGAGACACATGGGTAAACTAAACAACAAAGTCATTTATTAATAAAGAATAAGCAAAACCTATGAGTGGGAACAATCTGTAAAGTCAGTAGTGTAGGGAGTGGATGAGTTAAAATGTGCTGCATGGATGTTGTGCTGTAAAAACAAAGACAAGAAACCAAACACAACAAAGGAAGCTGTGAGATGAGGAGGTCCAACCAAGCTGACTGCTGCTCTGGCTTGTATGCATGGGGCACACCGGGCCCAGGTGTGTCCCATGCCTCTGATTACTCTGCCAATCAGGTCTGCAGCCCTGGAGACAGGAAATAAACCAAGGCCCAATCCCAAAGCCCTAAGCCCTGAACCCTCACAGACTTTACTGACGTCACTTGGAAAGTGATTGAGTTTAAGAGGCTGCAAGGGCTCAAAATGCTGTAAACGGGAATGGGACAGCACTTTGCCACTTTATCACCTTGACAACGCTGAAACACGTTGCACACTTTTTATTTTATGTTTTTGCCTGATTTAAAGTCCTGCAGGCTCTCGCCCTAGAGTGGAGGAGAGGTCAATGTCAATATATATTTGTCAATAATCAATACACTATTGTTGGTCAAACAGAATCATTAATCAAAAACTAAAATAATGTGTAATAAGGTGATTGCATTCCTCTGACTTCATGTGTTCTATGCACCATCTTAAGTTAAGAAAACTTTCAACAATGTTAATATCAGCGTAGGTGTTGATGCTTGTTTGTTTACGGTTTTCTTCTTCTCTTATAACGTGGATTTGCCGTGATAATTCTCTCGCTTCCCCTGGTAACCCCCATGTTTCACATCATACCGCTATGAACTGTGGGAAATTCCCTCAGCCGAAGTCTGGAGAAATGCGGACTTACGAAAAGGGTCTATAAAGGCCTCAAAATGTCTACGAGAGAGCCCTTGCGCACTTGACGATTTGACAGTGGGACAGCCCTAAGCCCTCTCGGACTTACCATGAACGCGCCACAAAGTCTGTGAGTCTGTGAGGGTGGACATTGGGATTGGGCCCAACAGCAGTATGAACCATCATACAACATCATGGCTATCATGGCTGTACTGGCCATGGCCTCTCCTTATCTCATCAACCCTGGGTTAGATAGAGCAGTGGTGTTGTTTTATCTTGCACCTTCCAGCTCTCTCATCATGACAACAACAACCTCCCCAACCGTTTGGCCAAAAAATTGTTTTCGTTTAGTAGAATACGCAGTGACCGTGTGGAGAAAAAGAAATATCATTATTCAATTTCATTTATTAAGATCCCCATAAGCCGTAGCCGAAGCAACAGCTATTCTTCCTGGGGTCCACACAGACACAAAACTCTAGACAGTATAGTACACAATTACAGGTAATCACACACACCAACACAACAAAGACAATATAACCATACACAAACACGATACAACACACTATATAACCCAGTTCTCATCAGTAAAAATCACTCAACTGAACAAACAGAAGAAAAAGAAAATAAGTTTATGTATTATCTAGACAGTACATTGCACTATATAGAGTCTGAGCGTCCTTGGATGAGAAAAGCTGTTTCGCCAGGAAATGTTTCAATGACATTTTAAAGCTATTTTTACTCTTCTCCTGAATAATATGCTCAGGCAGAGTGCTCTATGCAACCATAACTCTATACATTGCAGTGTTCTTCATCATACTGGTTTTCGTTTTGGGTATTGTAAATCTACCCTAAATAGTGTGCCTAGTGTAATAGTCATGCACATCTGAGCTCCAACATAGCTGTCTGTGTAATACCCTTGGTAATTTAGTAACTGAAATATTTTTAAAAAATAAAGAAAAGAGGCAGTACATCGATCTTTTACCTTTAACTAGATTAAACAGCTATACATTGTATTTACATTAGTTCTATATCAGCATCGAAGTGTACAACGTGCTGCTTTATTCTGAGTAACTTGAAATATTTTCATCTGAGTCATGGAAGCACTGGACAAAACCACTGAGCAATGATTTATTTATTGTTACTTCAGCTAAACATTACTGCCTTTCATCCTCCTTATACATTTCAGTTAAATTGCCCCATTAGCGTCCCAGATTTGATAACGATGATGAACTTTCTCACTGAGTGTATTTTTTGCTCACTTTAGCGACAGTGACCTCTGGACTTTTGAATCAACCTTGGACGAATTTCAACAAAGTTCACATCAAAAAATTAAGGAAATGCAGTTTTCCAGCAACCCTTTTAGATTGTTTGGGTTTAGCAACTTGGATAAAATATATAACTCTTGTTGGTTGCTGTTAGGTAATTAAGATGACAAAAGAGTTCTCTCAAATGCTACTCTTTACATAAGATATTAGTTACTGACGTTGACTTTTTAATTTGACTTTGTTACCACAGGCCTTTATCTTACTGGCTTATGTTGGTGAATTAATTAGTGTTACAGTTGTGTCAGTTAACAAGGTATGCATGGGGCTTTCATTAACTTTTTAGTGTGATGTGATAGTGGCCAAATGATCTTAGCTCTTTGATTACCTTTGAAGTTGATGCTAACTGCTCTCTGTTGGGAGAAACTAGACCAGCAATATATCTGTGAAACAATTAAATGTTGATATTGATTCAGTTTGAAACCGCTGCCTTAGTGTGCCACAGCACAGTGCAAATGTTGGATGTTTTGGGGATATGCGGCAGCAGATCTCAAGCAGTAACTCACATTGACAAACACACATACTGTATTTGCTGAGGAGTCCTGTCTTTGCTGCAGTAATAAATAACTTAGAGGTCTTTCCATCCATGCAGTCATTTAAGTCCTCTCAATTAGCCGCTTGGCTGAGCCCCCTGCTCTCCCAGTCTGTCATAAGAGCCACATGTAGGCCATCCGTTATAGTACTTCCATCTGACCACTGTTAGCGTTCTCAATGCCAAATTGCTGAAAAGTCTACTGTAGCTGTGGCTTGGGCAGCTGGTGTTTTTATCCACATCATGAACTGAAGCGTTGAATATTTCCTGTGATACGCCTTGTAGCAACACCAGAAATAGCTTTGCATCCTTTCAAGTATTTATTTATCCAAAAATCCACATCTCTGGCACTGCTGTACATTTGAAACAGTTCTCTTATGTAAGTGTTGGTGTTGATTTGCTGGTGGAGACATTGATTACTCAGCCAGTGTTCTCATCTGCAGGAATCTGTCTGCCTGCAGGCTGCTTTCTCGCTGGACCTTCATTGCATCACATGAAGCAGAATATGTAATGTCCGGGCTTTGCAGCCGAAGCCATTTAAAGAGGCTATTAAAGCATGTGGTAGAGAGGTGGAGGGAATTCCTCTCTCCAGCATGAATCACTGCTGCGATTTCTGTTGTGATCTGATGCAGAAGCTCTTACCTTGATCTTCACTAACTTCCTGGCCTCTAACTTGACACTACCTTGTGTACCTTTTATCTGTAGGCTGTCATGTAGTCTAGCTTGTCAGAAGATTTTGTTGCAACCGATTTTCTTTGCTCCTGTCAAGTGCACTCAGTGGTGCTGTGATCCCTGCCTCATTACCTGTGTGTTTCTGTGCACTGTGTTGTACTGGGTAATGTATAGATATTAATTTGCCACTGATTTGAGCATATTGTCGAGAACTCTATTTAAACTGTGAGCTCCACATTAATCTGTATTATTTCTTACTCACTGTACATCCTGCTCCACGTTACAGGTTACTGGCTAATTCACTCACTCCACCACTCCAGCCTCCCCCTGTTCTGGTTCATTATTAATCAGATATACTGTTCCTGGCATGTCTTTCATGTGGTCTCTTTCTCTTGAGCTTGTGTGTTTTTCTGTATCTCATGACTTGCCCAGTCATGTGGGCATGGGCTCTGTTCTGTTACATCTGGGGGGCTTTGTTACACTCTTCCCTGAATTGTTAGCACATCTACACATTGTTGCCCTGTGGACTTTAACCTGGCAACCTCTGTGCCCACTTCACTCTCTCACTTACCTCCTTACAAAGCAGAACTTCAGTGTCACTGCTCAATTGAACCATATTATTAATAGTGTCAAAATTGAGAAATGAGAAAATTGAGAGCATTGACGAACCAGTGAGGACACATTTGGGACTAAGACCACCTAACAGGTTTGGGGATAATGACTTATGAATTACAAAACAGTCCTTAAACGGTGTATGTAGGCCAGTTTATATATGGGGGGCTC